TAAAGATACGATTGCATATGTTTTCCATTGCTGACAGTTGTTTTTCATCTGGATCAATTGAAATAATAAGTATTGTAATTTGATTTTTAAAAATAGAAGATACAAGTTTTTCGTCTAAATACATAGATAGTATTAAACAATTTAATCTATTTTACATATACTGATTATAATCAAGGATCAAAATTTTGACAGAAAAAGAATTTTTCTTTCAGACATTATCTTTTCTTCACCTCAATTATCTTTTTTATATATAATCCATAATAAATTTCTTAAAAATAATGAATAATTATTTTTTACTGATTAAAAATATTTTCTATTTTATTTTTTTCTCTATATATAAATTTGTATATATGATTCTTTATTTTTTTCTTTTACCATTTGATAGTTAAATATAAATTAGAAATGAAATTTATTTAATATATTCATCTATATTAATAATTTCAAAGTATGTATATTTTTTCTGTTTAAAATTAAAATAATTCTATTGAGATTTCCTTACCAGTAAAAATATATTTAGCTGTCTCTTCTTCGATATTATATAAACCGAGTCCATATAAATTAGGATAATCGGCAACATGTAGAATATTTTTCATAAATGATGATTCAAGATCTAGCCATTTAATTTTCATATGAATATCAGGTAAAATCTTCGAACAAAATTGTTCAATTATTATATCAGAAAATTTACTGATAAATTTATTGGGTGACCATTTGAGAAAGTTTAAACGACTTGTAAATATTGGATCATGTATAATTTTATTAAATCGTTCATTGACTCCTTGAAAAGAATAAAGTACTTCAAGATTGTCAAGTTTTTTTAATATAATCAAAAGAATTTCATCAGGTAAATCATTCAATTCGATACATAAATTTTTCATATTTATTTCCATTTATTTTTTTATTCAGTCATAGAAAAGGCAATATATATGTTGCAGGACAGATTTAAATTCAGTTCAGATTAAAATCATTTTGATCTGTCCTAGTTCATTTTCAAATAATTTTAATCTCCAGTAGGAAAATTTCAAAGTGTACTAGTTCAGATCGCAATAATTTTAATCTGAACTGAATTTCAATCTGTCCTGCAACATATATATATATATATCTGTCCGTTTATTCTGTTTAACCGATATCGTCAACAAGAACAATAATAATGCATTTTTCAATAGTCTAAATTGTTCATAACTTAATGAATTTATGATTAGAAGAACGGGTGTGGGTGTGCGTGTGGGTGGGGATGGGTGTGGGTGGATGTGGATGTGGGTGTGGGTGTGTGCTTGTGGGACATAGCTCAGGCAGACAAAACTTTCGAAAAACGCGTTTAAACGCACAATCGGGAACCGCGACTGTGATTCATTCACGTTCATTAAAAAAACGCAGGAAACGACGTTTTTTGTACAAAATAGTCACTTTTCAAGCGTGAAAACGGTGGAAAACTTAAATTTCTAGTGTTAAAACGTTCTCTTTTTCTAGATTTAAAAAACGACGTGTTTAAACGCTCAGTTTTTTATATATTTGCCGTTTTCACGCTTGAAAATTGACTATTTTGCACAAAAAACGTCGTTTCTTGCGTTTTTTTAATGAACGTGAATGAATCACAGTCGCGATTCCCGATTATGCGTTTAAACGCGTTTTTTGAAATTTTTGTCTGCTTGGGAGGTGTGGGGGTCAGGTGCGGATGGGACGTGTGGATGTAGGTGTGGATAGTAGTACCTAATCATCCACACCCTCAGAGCTGTGTCTATATCTCCACCCACACCCAGACACCCACCCCCACCCCCACATCCCGCACCCACACCCACACCCCACACTCACACACCACATCCCACACATCACATCCACACTCCACCTCCACCTCCACACCCACATCCCAGACACCATACTCACACCCACACCCAACTTCCACACCCACAACCTTATGAATTCTACAATTACGAGATGAGGTTGCTTATGCACATCCACTGGCACAACTTTTGACTGACAAATAAAGTTTCATTGAAGACAGAAATCATGATAAAAAAATCACTTGATGTTTGTAACCACTCACACAGAACCTTGTATTTTTTTTATCGATTTTGTTTACAGATGTTTGTTGACTTTGAATTTTTTCTTCCCTCCTTTTAGGCTAAGACTATACCTCAATAGCCGTCTGTTTCTATAAGATGCATGTCGAGTATTAATTTCGCACTTAAGTTCGCTCAATATTTTGCAACTTCAAATGTTTGCTTAGGTGATAGAGGGAGAGAGAAAGTGAAAGAAAAACAGAAAGCATAGCAAATACTCAAGAGAGAAACATATATAAAATCAACTGTTGATGATAGAAATCTTTCAATTGCGTGTATAAAAAATAAAAGTGATTTGTTCAAATCATCCAACGATGAAGACGAGCGCAGTTACCATTTGGTTATTGCTACTCGTTGCTGTTCAATCAACCGGTATGTTTATCCTTGGAAGTGTTGAGAATGGAAATCTTTACAGAGTGCAGATTCGAAATCATATTCTTTATGATCATAATCATTTAAAACTTCCAAAAAGAATACAGTTCGAGTCAGTCAATCTAATAGCCGTTAAAATATTACTAATACGTAAATATTAGTAGTTTATATAATAAGGGTGTGGGTATTAGCGAACACTATATCCAAATCCATGAATATAGCCATGCCCACATCCAAAACCATACCACTCACCCAAAACTGTATGTAAACAATATTTCTACAGCGAAGTACGATCAAGCTATAGATCAGAACCTTACAAGGTCAAAAAATGTGAACTTCTAAAAGTGAATTGTGTGAGTTTTCTATGACATTTTAGACAGTTGAAAATGTACGTTCTTTTAGAGTTGACTCACATTTCCATATTTTTAAGTCTACTCTTTTCGACAAATTGTAAAAGATATTCTTTGATTTTAACAATCATCCGTACAAAAATCAAGTTTTTCTCATAGCACCGTTAAAAGGCACTATTCAAGTTCTATTGTGGTGTGAGACTATATACAATATAGTTACGAGTGGGGCATAAAGAATTATACTGTAAGTATTTTTGAAATTTCTCCTCTATTATCTGTGCGATTAAAACACTTTTTCAGTCAAAAGATAGCCCTTGAAATTCTCTACAAAATCACAGATGTATTGGGCATAATGAACGGCTGCACTTTATATTCAATTTTTTTCATAACTTCGTCTTATTAAAAAAACAAAATATACATGCGATGGTAAATTCCACTTTCCAGGAAATTCAAAGAAATAACTATAGAATAAATTTCATGGAAATTTAATTCAATGCTTTAAAGATAATTACCACGAAATCAGGTTATAAAAAGGAATATAAAAAAAAGTTTAAGTTTAAGGTAGAGTCAACTTGCGTTGGGTTGGGTTGGGTTGGGTTGGGTTGGGATGGGTTGGGTTGGGATGCGATGGGTTGGGTTGCGATGGGTTGGGTTGGGATGGGATGGGTTGGGTTGGGTTGGGTTGGGTTGGGTTGGGTTGGGTTGGGTTGGGTTGGATTGGGTTGGGTTGGGTTGCATTGGATTGGGTTCGGTTGGGTTGGGTTGGGCGGGGATGGGATGGGTTGGGTTGAGTTGGGTTGGGTTGGAATGGGTTGGGTTGGGTTGGGTGAGGTTAGATTGCGTCAAGTGCCCAATCCAACCCGAAATCACATCATCTGTTTTAAATTTATCTATGCACATATATTCTTCATTCACTTAACCCAACCCAACACAGCCCAGCTCCACACGAAATCAACTCATCTCTTTGATATTCATCTATAGCTATATATTCTTTATTCACTTGACTCAACCCAACCCAACCCAACCCAACCCAACCCAACCCAACCCAACCCAACCCATCCCATCCCAACCCATCCTAACCCATCCCATCCCAACCCAACCCATCCTAACCCATCCCAACCCAACCCAACCCATCCCATCCCAACCCATCCCATCCCAACCCATCCTAACCTATCCCATCCCAACCCAACCCATCCTAACCCATCCCAACCCAACCCAATCCAACCCCACACGAAATCAACTCATGTCTTTTATATTCATCTATAGATATATATTCTTCATTCACTTGACCCAACCCATCTCAACCCATCGCAATCCATCCCTAACAGATCATATACTATGTCTCCATAAAAATGCGTGGCATGAATGAATGAAACTAGAGATAACAGAATTTTTCTACGTGCACATCTTTTCCCCCAAGTACCATGCGGACAGTTATACATATAGTCCTACAATGTCTGTCTATGTTTATGACGATAAGCACTGAATATTTTTACAATAACATTTTTCTTGTAAATCATCCTCCACTTGATGTGCAGTCAAATTTGATTTTCCTGGAAAGCGGAGTTTACCATGCTCTCAAAATATATCACATTGCACCAAAAAAAACCTTTTTACATGGTCAAAATTTGATCACATAAAATTTTGTCCATGTTGAAAAGAAAGTGCAACTACAAAATAACCGATCTGATGTAAATTCTAGAGCTCTTCACGCTGTATATTTTGATACACTTTGTTTGTTTAATAGAGCGAAGTAATGAAAAAATGGAATGCGAAGCGCAAGCATTCTTTATGCCCAACCCATTAGTTTTTACAGCTTTTCGTATGTCTTTGCTTTGCAACTTTTTTCAAATATATCTAAAATAGCTTTTTGGCCTAGTGATAAGAGGTTTCGTAGAGAATTTGAAAGGCTATCTTTTGGTTTAAAAGTGTTTTAATCGCACGGATAATAGAGGAGAAAATTCGAAAATACTAACAGTATAATTCTTTATGCGCGACCCGTTACTACTTAAGAGATATGCCTATATCATAGTAAAGACTTCTGGTCTTGAAGTTTAAAAATATTTTGAGACACGAATGATTTTCAATGTGGGACTAACAGTATTTTCGTACAATACATAAAAACTTGAATTAAAATCATGGGTTTCGAAAGACCAACAAAAGTAAAATACTATCTTATGTTTCAAGGCTTCAGTACAAAAATTCGTTAACATATGTTTCTAATAGACAATTCTACATTCTTCAAAGATGGACGTCTCAATATTTTTGTCTTGTTGTGGAACTTTGAACATTTGAAGAAATAATTTTTTCCTTTGAAATATAACATATTACAATGTCTTGAACGTCTGATATATAGCTTTGCGGGTATGGGTGAATACTATATCCAAATCCGTCAACATAGTCACGCCCACATCCACATCCGTTTTTGTTCTTGCGTTCATTTGTTGCATGCGAGTGAGACGAATTTTTCATAGACTGTGATACATACCCATTAGGATCAAGTCTGCTTCAATTAATATGATTTTGGTACTGAATTGTGTCCCTCATGAAATCATAGCGTTTCTGTTAGCTTTCAGGCGTTGTTCTAATTCATGGCACTAATAAGATATACTATATGTAGTTGTTAATGGTCGCGATGCTTATTGAAAAGTCACCTGACCAGAGAATTAGAAACATTATTTTAGTCGGAAAGGTTTTTATCATTGAACGATAGAAATGTTCTTGATAACCCTCACCTAAAAAGTAAGACCTATGCGTGGATGTGGATGTAGCAAAAAAAAAGATTCACACTCATACCCTTTAATGGACGTGAAATCCAATACTATACTATACCTGTTGATCCTTTCAGTTGCTATCAATCCCAGAGTGTTCTATGCAACCACTATCAAGAGTAATTATCCAGGACAAAATTCAGGCAGCACTGAAGGCGGCACTTTACTGTGGATATACGGGGCTGGTTTTGCACAGAATGGTTTCAGTACTGCACCAACTACGGCAACCACGAATGTAGTAAAGTTAGTCAATGGCTATTCTGTCTACGAATGCGTTATGCAAACTGAAAAAGTGACCGATACTCAGTTGACATGCTACACAGTAGCAATACCTGCAGGCGTTTATCAAATTCAAATATATGTTAATGGAATTTTGATTCCATTCTCTCAGTACACGAATCCGGACTATGCAAATTTTAGGTCAAATCCAGAGAATACACCTACCATCACTGGCATTTCGCCAATATTCGGTCTGCCAAAACGATTGGTTACATTGTCAGGCAATTTCAAATCGTCATGTTACTCGCGCGACGTCAACGGCTGTTCTCAGGACAACAATGCACTCATTTCTCGGTAAGACTTTTAGTTATCGACGATTGCTTCTCTACTTTGAATGACGATAAATCTAGTATATACATTGGTGGTCAGCTTTGCAATTTGATAGAACCTATTCGTGGTACTTCGTAAGTTTCGTCTTCTTTCATTTCGTTGAAGTTGAACAGATTTCAATTTAATTTTAGTTATTCACATGTGACTGCTGCACAACTGCAATGTCGTTTTGAGAGCAATGAAGTCGGTAAATAACATTTCTTGTCTTAACATGTGAATTGGTAAATGACGACTAACATGTATATGTTGTTGATAGGAATATTTAATGTCACCATTATCGTTACTAATCAATATGGTCGTTCGTCAACTCTTGCCAGTTTATATCAAATGTCAGCCACTGGTCAGTTGTACACTTTTCGAACCTACGCATGTATGTCTATTGAGTATTGTGTTGATATAAGACAGTTCAATCTAATCCAATTGTTTGCTAGCTATTTTGAATGTATCACCAAATAATGGGAGCACGCAAGGTGGTACCATTTTGACTATTAGCGGTCAATATTTCAGTAGCAGTAGTCGATATCCGCTTGTCGTTAAAGTGGGTGATGAACCTTGTACTATTCTAAACTCAAATTTGACTATTATTCGTTGCCAAACACCGATGGAGCCTGTCATCAATCGAACATATTATAGCGGTAAGTTGGTTGCCGAATAAAAGAAAGTCACTTCATTTTTGACTACAGGTGGCCGTGGCCTTCATATTTACAATGAATCTCGTTTCATTAATCTGGTCTCGTATATATTGGATTTTATTCTTCGAAGTCTAATGTTTGTTCTTCTTAATGTATAGATCACCCTTGGTAATACGACTCCACCCATGCCAAGTGTCAATGCCACTAAGACATGGACAGACGAAGCTTCAATTATTTCACAGTTCGCATCGAGTACTACAGTATGGCTTATTGGATTTCTACGTCCACCAATGACAGCCACATTTATTTTCCGATTAGAAACATCTGCTTATGCTATTCTATATTTAAGCACTGACGAAAATCCAGACAACATTGTTCCAATCCTCAATACTAGTTCAAGTTTGGAATCAGCAGAACAAATACTTTATAACGATACCAAGTCAGTAAAAGATGAAAATGACACAAGACTACATATGCATATATTTTCATATAGCTACTTCATGCTGTGCATAAGCTCAACCAGTGGAGGCAATTTTCAACTGTCAATAAAAGCAAGTATGCTGCAAACAATGTCTAATACAGGAGGTGGTATGGCGAACTCCAACACAATTCAACAAATTCAGATCGGAAATGCCCCAGTCTTTGAGCATCAGGTAAACTAGTATTATTATTGTCAGATTCATGTAATTTATTAAAAAGTCAATGCATCAAATATGATTCTCAGGTGAGCAAAGGACGAGTAAAAAGACTAGTTGCTGTTCTGGTCATAATGGCACGTCTTGTCGAGTCTTTTCCTCAAAAAATTCTAGTGTACACGACTAGTCCAAAATCATTCTGGTGTGTGAATGGAGATAAGACCCACACCCACACTCACAATTTCGAGTTTTTTCAAGTTTTTGTATGAATAAAAAATTTCTATCATAGTATACAAAATTAGGTAGATAAAAGTTGAACAAGACTACTAATTTAGAATTAATTGTATACTTTCAAAAAAATTCTTCTTATCGTTGGTATTTCGGAGCAACTGTTTTATATTGAAAAGAAATTAAGTACACAAATAAATTAAAAATAACCAACATTTCTAGAAAATTAATTCTTTTTCGCATCATGGTAGAAGTCTATTTTAATTTAAATCCATTTTTACTTTAAATCACCAGAATTCGTACTTAAAATAAAGTAAACTAATAATAAAAACATACTAAAATTATTTTTAAATTAAACTATTTGTAATTTACATTAGAGTTTAGTAAATTTTACAAAAATACAAATAGGCAAGTCTCGTTAAGCAGCAAACAGCGTACTTTATATTTTTATATGCTTCATTGTGTTTTAATATAATATTGCACTTTTAGTATAAAAAATTACAAATATTTATTCGAAGAAGAGCTTGATATATTTGTTGATATGAAGCGAATAAAATTGCAAATTTGTACAGAGAATATGCTCAGATATATAAGAATATGACGCGTTACATATGTTGCCAATCCTTGATGTTATCCTTAATTTTGAAGGACTTTTCTTATAGCCATTTGAGTTAGATAAAAGAGTCATGGCGATAACAATCCAAATGTATATTGAAATAAATTAAATAATTATTACTAATTTTCATACTCGTTATGTGTTATACCATACTTAAATATCAATTATAAAGAGAAAAACGTGTTGTCAGATGATACTGTATGATTTTGAATATTGGACTTAAATAGGCTTGAGTTTCAAGGTTCTGTACAATTTTAAAGCGACTATTTTAATTTGTCTGCTTAATACCAGTTGATTCTTAGTTAAAAATAATAACGAAATGATTATTATTCTATTGTCTAATCTATATTCTAAAGACGCCTGATTAGCTATCATTTGAAAACATAATAGTGATGCTCAAAAATTCCTTGGGTTACAATCTACTTCTTTTTTGTGGCATCGCGAGCCAGTCTAAATGAGTTGTTCGGGCACTTTAGTAAAAACAAGATGGGCTGTTTAAAGAATTTCGACTACTCTGAACTTGAGTTGACAGCACCCTCTCAAAAATACAGTAGTCATGATCAACATAGATGACGCTTCAGACCAGTTTCGACTACTATTGTAGACGTTTCAAATTACTCAAATCACTTGTCTTCGACTGATTTCTAACCGCCTAGCAGATGGACGAGCGTCACTTTGTCATTTAAACTGTCTAAACTGACACTAGTCTATTGTTATGTCATTGTTTGCCATCCAAATACCCATAATATATCGAATACTGTCTGATGGAGTGTTCGAATCCACTTTTCGTTTCTTTTTTATTGTTTTTCTATACTACTGACTAGTCTGGACGGGATTAACCGAAAAAACGGACTAGACAAGACTAGATTTACGGATGTTTCGGACTAGTTCAGATATAGTTGAAGGACCTTCCTTGTACAGAGGATCAGTCCTGATGGATAGGCAAGACGTTTTAGACTACAACTGACGGGTAGTGTGGACATTTTCCACTAGTCATATTGGGCGCCCTCTCTTATTTTTTGTTCACTTGGGTGCTATATAATGAATAAAAAGATTAGTATCAATCAAGTATGACTAAGATTATTTGATAAGAGCTATTTAAAAAAAAATTATATTCGATTCAGCTTCGATCTCTGTTCTCTACTGACTCTTATATGTCTAGACCTAATCTTAGTTCGCCTGTGATTGATGACATGAATCTAAGTAAATGTTCGCTAGCATCTGAACGTTAAACTTTGAAGTTCAGAACTCAAATATTCAGATTTTCTAAAAAGTCTTGAAAATTTTAAAGCTCAAGAAAGAAATCCGAAATTTCACATTTCTTCTTTGTCGAAGTAAAAATCTTTACTAACACAACTACGATTTGAAGCCAAATAAGAAAAAAAAGGAAAATTGACTTATCTGCCAAGGCTCAGAGCGAGTATTGTTCATATTTTTTTATTCTATACCTTAACATTCATAAATCATTATTATATATTATGAAATTATGTAAATTGACGTAGGACATTTTACACAATTTCGTCATTAAAAAATTTTTCCATGTGATTTAATACCTCAGGATCCTGGCTATAGTTTCAATAATTTGTTTCTTGCTCCTGAATGTTTTAGATATCCTCTCGTTTTGGTTGTGATTCTGTGAGTATAGAACCTCTATCGAATGTGTATATTACTGAAAATTATTTTCAAACAGTTGAGAAAGAAGTTTAAAGTTCGTCGAAGATGAAAAAGAACAAAGGATAATCATTATCACATTATCGAATATCGTTCAAGAAGAATTTGCTCATTATTAGACAGCTATGAATTATCAATCTTTAAAAGAAACAAATGGCGGCTTTTAAATATTAACTAGACAGATTCTAGGCATTTATAATATTTTGAAATGATTGGGATTTCCCGCTAGCTCGATATTCATATCCAACAACTGTGAGAATATATGTCAAAAAATTTCACTATCCATTGTCAAAACAAATAAGCTAACAGATGATCTGTGAATGGTGAAAGGTGATCATATTTATGTATTCTCTATTTTAATTTAAAGCGAATCGTCTATGCAATTGATTCAGTAATTAATGGAATAGCTGAAGTTCAACAAATATCAGTGATTAATGCACCATTTCAAATCGGGTTCGAAGGAGTATATACAGGTTTGTTTATTGTTTTTCATATTATGAAATTTATGCATTTCACTATATATAATAATCGATATTTAGCGATTCTCGAAGGTGCAACAGATGCGATCATCATTCAAGATGCTTTAAACGACCTGGCAACAATCTATCCTTTGATGGTTACTGTAGCTTTCGTAGGTACCGCATACGAAGTCACTTTTCCAATCGAAATGGGTGATGTTTCACTGCTCACGATTATTTCAATTGCTTTCATCAATCCACAATATGTAATAGAAAGCGTACAAGGTGTAGCATCTGGCACAAAATTAGCATTTCGATTAGATGGAGCCACATCGAACTATTTCGATTTTCGAACTGGTGTTGTAACAAATGCGATGCTAACAAATTCGTTTAATCAATTGTTTACCATTCGATGTCCGCCATCGCTCTACGATCAACAGACAATATCATCTATTGTCTATTCCAATGAATTTGAAACAGCAAATCCCTATGATGATTCAATTATCATAACAAATATGGCGTTCTGTGGCCGTGATGCACTCACGAGTGGCTATCTAGTTATAGGAAATATGCGGCCTGCTGATTATATGTGTTTTGCATACAAAATTCCACCAAGTGGTGGCACTGTTATTATGCGTTTCTATGTTCAAAGCGATGGAGACTCATCGACCAATACTTATGAAAATATAACGATGCAACTAAATCAAGATGGGCATTGGCATTATACATGTATTGATCTACTCAATACACTTCAGCAGCATTCAGTGACATACTTGACCATTGATACATTTCTCATCATGAACGTTTATCTAAATTCTTATCCATTCGGTAGTATGTTTGATACAGTTACATTGCGCACCTCAGTACCTAATGGATATGAAGATCAAGATACTGTTACTACGACTGATCAATCATCATCAGGTCAATGTACATTTCCGTTTGTTTATAACGGTCAAACATACTTCACATGTACACTTGATGAGAACAACATGCCTATTTGTGGTTCGATTTCAAATACAACATTCTATTGTCAAAATTCATCTATTGAAGGCGTCCGACGCCTCTATCCAAAATATCAATTACTTTACAATTCACTTAATGTAACACATTCAAGTGTAAACAAGATGATTAATATTTCATTCCGTTATACTTCATGTGCATCACCAACATTGATCGAACCATTGCCACCTACAGTAAGTTATTTATTCGTTGTAGTGCATCAGCAATCGTTAAGTTATTATTCTTCATTTTTATTTTTAGATTGCCAACGTGACTTCGATCACAAATGCATCGAAAGCTATCGGCGGAGTCTATGATATTATGTTCAAACAACATCTATATACGTCGATTCCAGCGAAAATTACCGGACAGGATCTGACCAATCTTCTTCAATCATTTCCTGATTTCGGCTACGTAATTGCCGATAGCACTGGTGAATGTGCACAATATTCGTATACTATTCGATGGCTAACAAATACAAAGCAACCTCTAATAGCAATTGTCAATTCAAGTGAAGTGATACCGATGAACACATCGATAACAGTTAGAATGGACCAAAGTGGTGGAGGCAACAGTTTATTTTATAATCTTCCAGCTGATATGCTACGAACGTGGCATACGATTCCTCAGGTAAAGTGTTCAACTTTTTATGATTTCATTAATTGAATGAATATGTAGGTCGAAGTTCTTGTTGGTGGTTATTCATCGTACTGCTCAAATACCGATAATAATTGTCCATTTCAATGGTTAATCCAACAAACACCATTGATATTTGCCATAAATCAGAATGGAACTATTGTGACCATTGATGGTATTGGATTTGGTTCCACAATTGAATCGAATATAGTTTCGATTGGTGAGAGTGGCTCATGCAATGTAACAAAAGTTAATACAACATCGATTATCTGTACAATTGTTAATGCACCATCTGGTCCACAGAGTGTACAAGTCAATGTTGTTAACAAAGGTTTTGCACTGAGTAATGAGAGTGCCACAGTTATAGTCCAACTTTCGATCCTTTCATTTCAGCCGACTAGAGGAGGAGCTGGCGGAGGTTATCGATTGACTGTTATCGGAACAGGCTTTTCATCAAATGCCTCGATAACTATCGATGGAAATCCATGTACGAATTCTTCCGTAGCCAATTTTTCTTCGATAACATGCATTGTACCGCCTACTACAAACATAAATAATGGTCAAGCACTTGTGACTGTTATTGATGGAACTCTTTCGGTTAATGCATCTTCATACTTTTTGTATAATACGTCTGTGACGCCCACCATATTGTCAATAAGTCCAACTATTTTTACTTTGAATGGTGGAACATTAAACATAACTGGCGTAGGTTTCGGTAATAGCTCAGTTTTCGTATTCATCGGTTCGACAAATGTTTCTATTATGTCATTATCTTCAAATCAGATCCTGGTAAGGCTAAGCGCATTGCCACCTGGTCTCTATCCCGTTACGGTGAACACGTCGACTGGTTTTGCTCGACCTCTTTTCTATGTAGAATATCGATTTTATGTGCAACAAATCTCTCCTCAAGTTGGTTCTTTGTACGGCGGTACCAATGTTTCTGTTCAAGGTGAAGGTTTTGACAACTCGACAGTCATTCAATTTCGCGATCAAAACAATATTCTCTTTCCATGCAATATCATGTCGATAGAATCAACTCAAATTAATTGTCGAACAACGTCTGCTGTTGCCCAAGTAATGATCGCAGCAAACGGTATTGATCCAATAAAAGGTCCTGGTTTTGCTTGGTTACCTAGTCGTCAAACAGTACAACAGGGTACTGTTGTTACTTGGCAATGGATTTCACCAATAGTCACGTCACCACTTACTTACAAGATTTTACAGGTGGCAAATCCATACAGTAATCAACTTGTAACAGGTGGATTTGATTCTGGTGCAGCAACAGCATCTGGTAAGTAATCTATATCAAATGCAAGCTGCGTATTTATTTCAGTTTTCTAGGTTCATTTTCATACCAATTTGCTACAATTGGTACCTACTATTACTTGTCACCAAATATCGATCGTCCCAATGGGACCTCCATACGAGGTATCATCGATGTGGTAGCATCAACACCTAAAATACTAACTGTGAAAGCTATGTGGGGCAGCTTTGCTGGTATGTTCGAATAAACATTTCATTTTCATGCAACTAATTTTCATTGTACAGCTCAAACGTGTGCCTTTCCATTCACATTTCGTTCTGTTCGCTACAATGCATGCATATTAATTAATGATACTCAAGCCTGGTGTTCTCCAACATCAGCATATACTGGTCAACGACTCTATTGTACATCAAGAAGTAGGTTGTTTTCAAATCAAAAGATCTAACTTACTCTTAGAAAGTGTGACTCATTTCTCCATAATTGTGAAACATTATTAGTAATGAATGTTGAAAGAATTATTGAGAGAAGTAATATAATATTCACGTTTGTACCACAGACTAGAACAGATATATGTCAATTTTTTATCTTTGGGTTTTTGAATATTGACATGGAGGAATTTTTGAAACTTCTGACTTTGAGACAGTGGCAAGATTGTTTTGAAGAGATTTTAAACTTATAGAATAAAGATTATTCCATTTTTCTCTGGAAATAGAACAGATTTACCCTGATTGGTTACAGATCGTGAGAAATATGTCTGCATGCTTCTGTTTTAGTTTCATTATAGAGATTATTGCAGAGCTCGCTCAATCGAGTCAGAACTATTTTTGAGCGAATAATGGAAGCGAAGTTTTGTAATTCCAATATGTGTCTCGAAAGAATTTCCATTCATAGACGACATGTATTGCTGGCGTGGTAGGAATGATGGAGATGAATCAGAGTGACTAGAATCATCATGGAGGGTATTCATCGCTGGAAAATTAATATGTTGGGTAGGGCGGGAAGTTTTCACCTACTGAAAACCTAGTTTGAACAAAAATCTTGGCTTCGTTGCTGCACTAATAACAGATTGTAGTAAAAAAAGTGTGTCGTTTCTTTCAAAAATTTTGCCTGTTCGTACTATCAGAATGCTGTTACTATGGTAGCGATTTGTTCGCAACAAGATGTCGTCTTTACCTATGCTGACCATTACAAAATCGTCTCATAAATGACTCAATGAATTGTACAATATACTATGTAGAGAACGTCGTATAGCTGATAGTTTAGTATTGGTAGTATGATTTGATTTTCAAGCAAGCATGGCTACTAGGAGAACAGGTTCTCAGTATGGCTCTTGTCAGATTAAATTGTAAACTCTAATAAAGTCGTTCAAAATCAGTAAAATAGTTTTCAATAATTGAAACTTTACAAAAAAAAAAAAAAAAAATGAAAGGACGAGTTTTTCTTTCTCAAGATGAACAATGTGACAACAGTATTCCATGAGATCTCATCAGAAAAATGATCGATTTTATTGAAACTAATATGCTTCCATAACAATCCATAATATCCTTGCCATAGTCGATATCGGATCTATCAATCGTAAGTCTTAGGAGATTTCAAGAAGATTAGAACACGAGATCAGTTTTACCGAATTGTAAAGCCATTTGATCTTCTGATAATGCTAATGTTTCTTTATGTCAACAATTCTATTCAACTAAGAAAATTCATTAATAAATTTATTGTTGCATGTTCGAATATCGAAATAATTTTCAATAAGTATGTGTCACGGTTAGCTCTAGCGCCTAACGCATCGTGTTCTTCGAGTACTCTTAACATAAGCTCATGTGGTCAAACTGCACCTACAACAGAAAATCCGACGAATTTTCTTGCTACACTTTGTACGATGGAATCAATCATTTCCGTATCACCTGCCGAAGGAACTGTTGGAACAGTTATAACAATTACAGGTACTTGATATTGGTAACTCACATATTTCAAACGAAAATACGGTTTTCAGGAATAAACTTCCGTGGACAGATGGATGAATATGGCATAAAAATTGGCTCTTCATACTATTGCCCGATAATAAACATGTCGTCGACTGCACTCATATGCCAGATCACAGCAAACTCAACACTCGATGCTACAATGAACCAAACTCTTAGCGTCTCTCGCAAGTGTCAAGGCTATCTGGGAAGCAATGGTCTATTGCAATTCAATTTTAAAGCATCGATCTCAAGAATTTCTCCTTCAACTGGTAGATGAGAATATCAACAGAAATATACGTATTCGATTTATTCTTCGTTTCTTTGCCTCTATTTTCAGGTTCAATTTTCGGTGGTACCCGAGTAATAATCGATGGTGATGGGTTCAGTCCAGACAATACACGTGTGTTTATTGCAGGTACAGAGTACACAAACTTGACAACAATATCCTATTCGCAAATTATTCTGACTACTCCATCCCAATCAATGTATCAAAATCTTAATTTAAGTGTGATCATTCTCATTGACAAGAATCAGGCCGTATGCTTAACTTCGTTATGTCAGTATTGTTGGGCAACCAGTGTTACACCGTACTTACTTTCGGTGAGCACTTCAGAAAATCAAAATCTCACTACATTTACACTTAATGGTCAAAATTTCTTTGGTGGTGGAGGCACAACGATTGGTACACGAGTGAATATTAACAACAACAACTATTGCAATATCACTTCAATGACAAACCAATCAATCATATGTTCAATGAATCATGTTGAAGCTGGTACATACGATATTTTCGTATCAATCGAAGGTATATTATTTCGTCAATAATTTGTAGAAAGAAAATCATATGAAATTCATACGTATATATTATTTAATTTTTATAGGCGTCGGAAACACTCGTACATTGTCGAGTGTCATATCAACAGTATTTCTATCGGGTGTATCACCTACAATAATTGGTATCTATGGTGGCATATTATTAAGTATTATAGGCACTGGCTTCTCAAGCGATATCGAACAAATTCAAGTTACTATTGGCTCGAATCCGTGTCCTAATGTTCGGGCGACAACGAATGAAATTCAATGCATTATTCCTGCTCAAGGCAATAGCTCAAATCCCGCAACTATTTACGTCGTTTCCAATGGGATCACAGTTACGCTCCCGTCTGCAATCTATTATAATGCTACAATTACACCGAACGTGACTTCTGTTGAGCCCACGTCCGGCAGTACCTGGCAGATATTGAACATTACAGGCGAAAATTTTGTTAATGGGCAAACTAGTGTTCGAGTCGGAAATATCCTATGTGTTATTACAAGTCTATCGACAACATCAATTACGTGCACACTTACTTTAAGCACAGCAACAGGTTATTATCCTGTCATTGTACATGTGAACACAAGCGGGGATTCAAATTCCGATGTACTCTTTTTTAATGAACTTTCACTTACTAATATAACGCCGGCACAAGGTAGCTACGGCGGTGGTCTTCAAGTCAAAGTCGTCGGCGACGGATTTAATGGAACGAATATAAACGTCATCATATGTAATCAAACTTGTTCATCAGTCGTAGTTCTTTCCAATACTGAACTCACCTGTATCACACCTTCTCTTGTACCTGTCGGAACAAATACTTCGTGCAATTTAACGGTTATCATCGATAGTATAAGTAGCAGTATACCATTTCTTTACACCTCCGATTTGACTGCAACGTTAGTATCTGTGAGTCCAACAAGGGCGGGAACAGGAGGTGGAACAATACTCACTGTCAATGGAGATAATTTTCCGTAAGTAATTTTCAATTATTGAACTTTATGAACAACAGAATTTGGATTATTTTCTGTATACAGGAATTCGACAGATGCATTAGTAGTAACTATTGCAGGCATGATATGTTCAGTGAAAACTAGCAATAGAACTTGTATAACATGTGAGACAGGCAGTTATGGACAATCAAGCACCGTGGCCCAGGTGATGGTACTTATCATTGGTAGTGGCTATGCAGTAGGCTCAGTACAGTTTCAATACATTGACCTATGGTCGAGTCGATGGACATGGGGTGGTGATGAGCCGCCTGAAGCTGGTACTCTTGTCTCAATTGATAGTGGAGTAACAATCTATTTGGATACAACAACACCCATTCTTAAGGTACTCCTTATCGACAATGCCACCTTGATCTTTGACGATTCACAAGATGTTGCCTTAAATACAGAATACATTGTAATCACCAACGGTGGTCGCCTTCAAATCGGCAATGAATCGAATCCATTTCAGCATCAAGCTATCATCACTATGTATGGACACTTGCGATCGATCGAATTACCAATTTGTAAGTGACACTTATTTTCTACTACCTCTTGATAATCTATTCTTTATAGTTGGAGCCAAAGTATTGGCTCTGCGTGATGGCACCGTTGACATGCATGGAAAAACGACTGTCCGAACTTGGACGAAACTAGGAATCACAGCTAATAATGGTTCATCGACAATTACTCTTCTTCAACAAGTCGACTGGCCTATCGGCAGTCAAATTATCATTGCCACCACGGGTGATTTCCTCAGTCAACAAGAGAGTGAAATTCGTCGCATAATGAACATATCATCCGACGGGCTGACATTAACATTGGATGAACCATTGACATACACTCATTTAGGCATTACACTAAATTTAAATGCGACATCGATTGATATTCGTGGTGAAGTTGGTTTACTCTCGCACAATATCATCTTCCAAGGTAGATAATAATTGGTTTTTGAATGATGAATGAAAATTACTTTATTAAGGTTCCATTACTGACACATGGACTGAAACGATACCGGCATGTCCCGACGGGTTCAATCCAGGTAGAATCATTTTGAACGTTAAATAAGAAATTTGTGTAAATTGACCGTTCTAAAGCTTGTACCAGAGCGTTGTATTGGTACGATTGAGCGAACACAACACTCGTGCACTTTGAGAAACAGAGCGAGTACTTAAAAATAAAGTTTCAATTAAGAATCTACTTAGAATATCATTTTCGATTGATATTCTTAGTAACAGCATTATCTTTTCACTTTTAAATTCGAACAGTTGCTCTATCAAATATATTCTGAATTCTAAACAAATATATAATGAAACTTCATTGATCGTGTAGATGAATTCGCCGTTCAAACATGCTATTTTGGTCGATATGGTGAAGAGATTGGCTCTGATCAGTTCGGTGCAACAATAATGGTTAGTCAAGACATGACTACTGCTAATGGTACTCAACAAGCTATTCTACGCTTATCGAACGTTGAAGTATGTCTTTGATGATATCATTTCTTTACATTTCTATAGCTTTTGTCATTAGATAACCTATGTCGGACAAGCTTTTCGTCTCAGTCGATATCCGATCAATTTTCAGATAAATGGAAATATGAGTATGTCCTATATTAAATCGTCATCTGTTCATTTATCTTTCAATCGAGCAATCAACATTGAGGCTAGCAATTACATCACCGTTGAGAATAATGTTCTCTACAATATTATGTAGGATCACAATGTTTACTATAATTATTCATCTCATTTATTCTATTATTTTGTTAGGGGTGAAGCCATGTCACTAGAAGATGGCGTAGAAATAGGTAATGCATTCAAAAATAACTTGGTCGTGTTTGTTCGATCAAGTTCTAGTCTTCTAAATGAAGAAATCACACCAGCTGCTTTTTGGGTAAGAGAATGATTCATAATAACTTGTAAAGTTATTCTATTCGAATAGTTGACTAATCCCAATAATACTGTTGAAAATAATGCAGTAGCTGGCAGTACACATTACGGATATTGGTATCGATTACTTAATACAGCCAGTGGTGCATCATTTGCTCTATATCCAAATTATTCTCCTTATATACAACCGTTTGGCCGCTTTTATAATAACAGTGTACACAGCTCCGGACGATTTGGAGTGTGGATCTATCCACAATATTCACCGACAATCAATGGTAATCCTTCACCACCTCAAGCTGTTTTCGACGGAATCGTCTCATGGAAAAATAGCAAAGGATTCGAGTGGGTCAAGTCCAATGCGATTCAAATTAGAAATGCTCTCGCTTTCGATAATAATTATGCTGGTATTTCCTGTATTACAGCTTTTGATTATCAAAATCGGTGGATATCAAGCATTCTTGGTAATGGTTCGTCTGTGGTCGATAGTGTTATTATTGGCGACACGGGAGTCTCATCGAATCCTATCATACCATCGATTGCGGGTCTTGTTGGTAGGCAAATGTTGTGATTTGATCATCTATCATGATTGAGAGGAGTTTTCTCAAAACTTACCCAAGATATATTGTCGTAGCAAACCGTTTGTCAGTTTCAGACATTTTAATCATAAGTAAAATTGAACGAATGAAGAGATGTTTTGTTCTTGATTTTAATTAAGTGAGTACTTATATAAAGCACTATGAATTTCCAATAGTTTCGTAATGCATCATTTTTATATCTACAAAAAGCAAGAAATCATTTTCATGAACATTTTTTGTTCAATTCATTGACTGATTTATCAAGTATCTAGCTGCCACACACTTTCTTTGCTGACTGAATCAGTTCATTTGAATTTTATGAATTGAATTCAATACGAATTCACTTGCCGATCAATAAAAGAAAATAAATAGAAATACGTTTTCGATAGGCTAGCAAACGTGTAAGTCGTTCTGTTGGTATCATGATAATCGATTCTCAGTTAGATCTATTCCATATAGTCAAAGTTCTTTTTTCTTCTGGGTACATTCTCATAGACTATGTGTAATTAAGAGAACAACTTTCTGAAGATGGGAATCATGCTTAATGTATTGTTTTTTTTCCGAAGTCATCATGGACTTCTTTCATTGACATTTAATTCAATTTGTTATCGATTTAATGAAAGTTTGAGATCATATTAAAAGAAGAGGTTTGTATTTTGACACAGTGTCCACTATTGAGCAAAAAAAAGTCTATGAACGGAGGATATTCTCAAATAATAATAGATGACAAGTTGCAACGATATGACATTGATTTTGAACTAATAAGTTTCGAACATAGTGAAATCTTTCATCTATTCAATTGAGTAGTAATGCTATTGGTAGATAAAAGTACAAATAGCGGTTTCTCAGCTCACGATGAACGATATAGTCAAAATTTTGAGCTTATGAGAGAGAATACTTATCGATTTAATATTATAGTCTTATGAGGGGACCTCATCGGAAACCTCCTTCTGATTTCAATGAGTTTTTGCCTATATAGTATCTATAGATTAATAAAATGTCATTGAAATCAGAAGCGAATATCCAAGAAAGTCACATCATCGGTCAAATTTTCTCAGTTGACAATGTATTATTTTGAAGAAAGACGCATCGCATGGCGCCGTTTTCATTTGAAAGCTTTACTACTGTAGCAGTGATATCGATTTTGACTTGATTCATTTTATCATTACATACAATATAACAAATAGCTCAGCTGTAATTATTCGTCTTTGATGGGCTATTTTTTGAGGTTAAACTATATCATGAATTTCGACTACTCTTATAAAAAAGGAAAACAATTGTTTAGATTTTATTGATATACTCTTCTGAAACTATCTGCCATTGTTTTGCAGCAATAGCAATTCCCATAAGTGAATTTCTATAGAGTTACATTAAGTAAAAAACATTTTCTTACGTGTAACAAAAGATAGAGAATTCTTCGATATGGCAAGTGATATTTCAATTATCATACCTTTTGGAAACTAAACCTGATCATCAAGAAGGGTGTAACAATCGAATACAACTTTGGACCGAGTGTCCCCCTGTAAAGATGATTCACTAACAATCAACATTTTAAAATACGTGCTCTTTCCTCTCTCCCTTCTTAATACGATTACTGAATTGCCTAAGTACAAATGTGCAACAGCGCAGTACTCAAAACGTATATTTCGAAAACGAAATTTCATCCAAGAAGCTATGCATAAGAGGCCCAATCAGTCTATCCTTAGATTTTCAAAATTTATATATAGTTCAATGTAGAATTTAATGTAGAATCGTTTTGCAATTTTGGCAAATCAATTCGACATGGTTTAACGCCATTGTTATTCCTAAGTATTAACTTTCAGCTATCATCATTGATACGGCCAGAATATCTCCTCGATTTCTTTATTTGCCGACATTGATTTCACTTTCAAACAAGTCTATCAAAAATATTTTATTGCTGTCTTCTATTCGCCACTCCATTGAGGAGGAATGATATATGAGCTGTAAATACAGTGCTGCATGTTATCTTACCGATAGAAACAGGTTTAGAGAATTTAATGCTTGTAAATATTTATGTAACAGTAGATAATGTTTTTCTAGGGCTATAAAACTATCCAATTACCAGACACAAAAAGTTATAGAAAACTGAAGAAATATATATCACACTATGATTGAGACATGATTTAGGAAATAATCCTAAATCATGTCTCAATCATAGTGTGATATGTATTTCTTCAGCCTTCAACAATTTTTTAGTCTAGTAATTAAACAGTTTTATACTTCTAGAAAAACGCCATCGGTCGGTACATGAATATTTATAAGCATTGAAATCTCTGAACCTCTTTCCACGGCAAGACAGCATGCAGCACTGCATTTGTAGCTTATATATCACTTCCCGTCAACGTTGTAGCAAATAGAAAACACCAATAACATATTTTTGATAGCCTTATTTGAAAGTGAAATCAATGACGACATATAAATAAATCGAGAAGACATTCTGACGATGCCAATGATGATGCTGATAGGTAATACTTAGAGTTACAATGGTGTTAGACTTTGTCGAATCGATTTATCAAAATTATCAAACGATTCTAATTATATTAAATACTACATCGAACTTTATATAAATTTTGAAAATTCCAGAACAACTCACTTTGATCTCTTATGCATTCACGTCATTTGGTAGCCTTCCTTGCATTATAGATCTTACCATCGTCTAGAATTCTATGTCATTTAAACAAGTACCATGCATTGATAAGGTTGAAACTGTTCAAGTTATAAACTTTGAGTTATAACTGAGTCAATTTGTGTTGAAATATTTAAATTAATTATCACTGTCAACTATTTTATCATTGCATGTTCTCTTTATAGGATGAATTGTTTTTCGCAATGGAGGGCGCCAGAATTTGATAAAAAAAGGCACTCAAATACAAATCTATTGTGTTTTCGTACAATTGGAAAAGCAACAATAGACAAGAAATTGACAAAAATGCACATGCTGAATGCTTAGTGTGGTTCACTACTTTCTAGTTGTTGTGTTTGATAAAACAAAATATAAAATCCACATGAGACAAATAGGTTATAGACAGGCGGTTAAGTTTATCGAGCTAAATTACTGTTGATATTGAAATAATACATAACTGTATTCAATAGTTGAGTTGAAATGTAGCCAATATAGTTATATTCTTTCCTTAGTAGATCGATCATCTCGCAATGTGTTCGTCTGATCCAATATAACTGTATTTTCAATGTTTAGTCTTATATCATGGATGCAGTTGAAATAGATCTCGACTATTTGAAGCCACAGTTTTTAAACTAGCTCAATTGACTACAATCACTCGATCATTGTAATGCACTTGAGAAAGCTAAAAATGTTGACTCTAGTCAAAGCCTAAGAAAGCCTCATATAGGATATCCTCTTCAACGGCATTAGTAAATAAATTACTCATAGCTGTTTACTTGATGTATGATTAAATTTTTCATTTGAAGATTTTTAAAAACTTTAGGATTCAGAATTTTCGAAAACTTTTTTTTTACTTCTCATGTTTCATTTTCAATATTTTTGCGTCGGCTTTTCATGGCTCATTTGGTTTCGTATTCAAATCCTTAAAGCATTAAAATAGTAAACAGGGCTAGGTTAATTTTTATCACAAATGGAAACCATGTCGTCATTGGTAAGAATCTGTATTGTGGGGAGGCCCTAGGAATAGGATGTTCACATGTTTACTACGCGAATCAGAAGATCGTACTAAGATGAAAAAAAAGTAGACTCTTCAGGACTCGATATTTCAAATACGTAAGTATATAGTAGGTAAAAACACCTTCATTCTGGTTATAGCCGCAGCATTCATCATATGATGCTTACTGCTCTAGTTTTCCTTTAGGATAAATCCGATTTAGTTTATCTCTATGTTTATGAACACAATTCTATGAGTTGGCACCTATACGCATACAATCATGATGAAGCTTCAATTCCTACTAAAGTTCACATATTGTAATAAAAATCATAAAAAAATTGATTAGAATTTCAACAATAATAAATGATTTTTACAGTACACACTATTCGATCGTTTGCTTTCTTCAACTTGCCTAGACTGAGAACTTGATAAAGAGATAACACTCTCATCAGTAGTATTGAGTATTGAGTCGTTTTCTCTTGAATTACTCGGTGTTTGGTATATCTGATCATTCGAACGTTTATGACTTGTTAATATTATTTCATTTGCAGTAATGCGGGATCGAGGTTTTCACGTTCATAACGTAACTTTCATAAACTTTCCAAGTAATCAAACACAAGCGATTTTCGGGCCAACTATCATAGATGAATGTACCGATCAATGCGTAGGTAAGTAACCAACAGTATTTTCTTTTACTGAAAATAGTCTTTATCATCTTTAAAAAAAACCAGGCTGGCTAACTGAATTCTCAAGCATGTCTTTTTTTAATGTTGCTATCCGCGGAAAGTTCCGATGGACATATGATGGTGTGTATCAGGATAATGATGGATCACTGGGAGCACAACCCAATTCAGTAATAATGGCGCCTGATGGCATAACAAATGCTTCATCAACATGTACATCGGTGTCAGACTTTGGCAATGCTATCCAGTGTCCCTTATCGTGGGGCTCATGGCTTCGATTTTCACTTAATCAACCATGTAGTGGCCTACTGACCATTATTTCTGTTGAGACAAACCTTTCTACTATTGTACCATGTCTGCAACAAGCCCCTTATTCTCTGAGCTATACCATGTTTTTGCGAAGAAATCAAACATATCTATTCAATTTCAGCTATCTGTGGGTAAGCTAAGCATTGCTTGTGTTTTTTTTAAAGCATCACGTTTTCTCTCGATTCGATTCGAATTAGAATTGGTACTCTTCTTGGAATTCGAGAACCTTCTACGATATGGCCCCTGGCGACTACATTATCATTCAACACTCCATGGCCACCCGTCCAGAGTGTGGCATCGGATCCGAATCACTCATGCCACTCTCTGGATTAAACAATAGTGACTGTGATTGGTACTATGACAGCAACACAACCCTTTTCTCATATATCAGTAATTTATTCGCTGTTGTTATCTCACTTATTTTTCATACTATTGTGTATTTAGTCAAAAATCCAACTACTGAAGTGGCCGATCGATCTTGCACTTTCTATATTTATTCATGTCCTCCCACACCTTGCAATACGTGTCCAACAAACCCAACCCCACCAACTGCACCACAACCAGGTTATGAACTGCCAACGGCTCAACAGGTACTGATTTACCTCCTTGATGACTAGTAACATTTTTAGTTCAGTTATGAGTCTTGTAACACAGAAACATTTGTAATCGTCCTTTTGACAAATTGCTGGTGGAGGAGGACAAGACTATATATTTTCGAGAGTATTCTTTCCAACACGCTACATATTTACTTTGAAATCTGAAAAACATTTGCGGTCTACAGAAATAAAGAAGTTTCAGATCCTAACTCACTAATGTATCGGTTGCATTGAAAACATTCTGCAATGATGAACACTTTCGTATTTATAAGAAATCTCATGCAAGGGATCAGTTGGACATCATATTTATTGCATTTTGAAAAAGTAAAATAAAGTGGAGCGATTTAACTTTATCCGATGTAGTAAAAATAATGTGATATTCCTATTTGTTTGATATTAGAAGTCTAGGTACATGATTATCCACTCGCTAGCTACCACATCAAGGTTTGTTAAGAAGACGCTGGCTACTTACCATTTATGAAGATCCTACAATGATTTTGTTATGAACTTGTAGACATAGATTCAGTATTGAACTCATCAATGTCAGCTCCCAAGGAGAAAAGTATGTTGGAACATAATAGTGACTAAAATCAAGATTTTCCAAAAAATCTAATATCGACATGACCATCCTGAGTGCATATAAGGCTAAATTTGGCTTCAGAGACCTCAAATTCTTTGTGATCTGTGGTATATGAAGTGTCAAAGTTGCCCAACATATCGAATTTTTTCTATAGAAGTAAAATCCATAAAATGAGAAATGATTCAGTGCTTTCAATTAAAACTCTTATTATTGACAAAATTCACCAGTGTATACGAATCCAAAAACAAAACAATCGCTGAATACTTTTCTAAATGACTTGCTTGCAAATCTATAGAACTGTTCTGCCTAATTCATATCTTAATATCAGCAGGATCTGAGAATCTAAATTGAAAACGATCGAATGTGGTGTATATATAATGGATTTTAAAACTACAAATACGAAAGTTATGCCATTTAAGATTTTTTATATACACTTTTTTTATGCTTTTGTTTTGCAAAATGCCTACTGACACATATTTTCAATTTCTGTCACAGACGTTTCAATAGACTGGTCCTGTTCATAAGTTATTTCATAGGGCTTAACATTCTCTAGTAAAAAATATTTATTCATCGAATGGCACAGAAACAAATGTTTTATCTCACTCGAGTTTCATTGAGAGTCTATGGGTAGGAATTGAAATCTTGTTGCGTGACACGACATTCATTCACAATAATGTCGAGATTTAAAGCGTATGAAAAGCTTGAACAGTACAGTCGAGTGAAGAATGATATCAAACAACATAGTTCTATTTTGTTATGTTCTTCGTAATTTTGGCTCATATTACACATAGTGAGTTGACGCCCAGTAGGTAACTAGTCAAAGTAATCGGTTATTAGACTCTTATATGTACTTGAGAAGATTCAGAATCAAGTGATATTGTGATAAAAATCTTCAAATGTAGATAAACAACTTGTGTTTGTTTACAACAGATCCGCTTTCTCTCTACGGAATAGTTAAATGAATGGGAGCAGAGATAGACTATACTTGATCATTGGACAGTACTGAAACGTAATGTTTCATTCAATTCCTTTAAGCATTTCATATAATCCATCTCTATCCTCTGACAATACTAATAAATAGAGCATCATGCTGACAATGTGCCCATCTCCCAAAAATACAGAATAGTGTGATGTTGCTCATTGATAATATATTATTTATTTCGCTGATGCCCGAACTTTTTATATCGTTTCAAGTGTTCTTTCAATGATACAAGATACTGGTCAAACGATTCTCACTGGACATTCGGACCACAAACTTACGATAATTGGAGTAAGTTGTATATTTATTTATTTATTACTACTCATCATGATTAAAATATTTGATAGATGGCACTAAACCAGATAATGATAAGAATATTTTTGTTCCTCGATGTATTTGGCTTGTGATCGACTGTCCACTACCGACGATTGCTTCATTGAGAATTGATGGTGTGGTCGAGTTTCAACAGGTTCCATTGGACTGTTTAAAAGTTTTCGAATTTTTCATTCTTAAATATTTTTGATAGGGTAGAAATCATACAATGTATGTAGGTAGTATTTTCATCAATGGAGGCAGATTGATTGCCGGTGAGAATGATTTTTCCAAGCACTATTCGAGCTCTTTTGTTTCTCTTAGGTTTACCTGATGCTCCTTTCAATGGCAGCGTCGACATTATTCTTCAAGATCGCCATTCGGTTACGATCGAACTGCCCAATTATTTTCCGCTTATTGAATCTAGAGTAATCGCAGTTCTAGGTGGTCTCGATTTGCATGGTTCTTTACGTGATATTTCATGGACACGAATTGCCACAACTGCTGCATCGGGTGAAAGCTTGATTATATTAAGCGAGCCAGTCAATTGGATGATTGGTGATGAATTCGTCATTACCACTACGGATAGAGAAATATCGCATACAGAACGGCATCGTATTGCTAGTATCGACAATGGAACGATAATACATACGATGGTTCCACTTGCTTACACTCATATCGTCTTACAACATACATTTCCAAATGGTCAGACAGTCAACATAGCTGCTGCAGTCGGTCTATTGACGCATAATGTGCGTGTTATCAATCAAAGTCCATCACCTAATCTATCTGGCTTTCGAATTTTCATCACACAATATTCGACAGTTATCTGGTATTCGGACACGAACCAGTGGGAAAATACATACTACAAGGGCTATGCTCGACTTTCGAATATACAGTTCATTGGTTTCGCACAATTTGATGATACAACTAATAGTGATCAACGATCATCTATATACATGAATAATCTAAATGATTGGAATTCACAACGGCCTACTTACATCGATGCTTGTTCATTCGATGGTGGATTTAATGCTGCGTAAGTTATAAATAGGATAAATTTGTTTCCTTGAAAAAATTTCTCTTTGACAGAATTGGCATGCTGAGTACGAACGGTGTACCTATTACAAACAATGTTATTTATAATACATATCGAACAGGTATTGCAGTTACCGGAAAGAATAACATTGTTCGAAATAACCTTGTAACAACTGTCTATTGGTCGGGCACGGCTCAATCATCGTCAATCGCTGAGTACAATATCAATTATGATGGGGCCATTATGTCTCGTGATGCCATCAGTGTGATAATGCAGGTATGGTGTACAACAAAGTTCCTTTTCGATATTTAAAATTATTTGGTTTGTTTCTAAAGAATAATCTTGTATCTGGAGTTGAACGATCGGCTTATCGAATTCAAGGTGAAGCATGTCCGAGTGCATACATTCCTGGATATATATACAATACTTATTCGAATAATGAAGCTCATTCGGCAATGTCTGGCGTCAGTCTTTGGCCATTGGATAAAGGCTTTTCGTATGACCGAAGTATACTATTCGAATATCATTTTAATACCGCATATTTGTTTTTTGGTTGTTCGTTCTAGAATGCGTTATTATTAAAGGATTCACGTGAGTATGAGAAACGATTTAGACATTTTCGCACAAGTGTCCTATATATAACTTTATCGAGCACAGATTATTGATAGAATAACTCAACGAAAATTCTTCTACTAATGAATTTTTTGACTCACTTGTTTCTATAAGAAATCGGAATATCAATATTGATTCTATAAAGGTTCACGAAATTTACCAAGAAAAAATTATTCATCGTTCAACTGGCAACATACCATTAGCGCTGATGAGATCTTAATAAAGACACCAACATAAAAGTTCTATCAATCTAGTAATATTAAAAATTATTTCGTCAGTTCATTGTTTTTGCATGAATCTCATCGGACTCGGAAGAACAACAAGATTTTTTTTCCAGTTTGTTTCAGATTACGTAGAAGAATCTTCCTAGAATTTTAGTGCATTAGTTTGTATCAGTTTCACATTTTTGTAATTCCGTGGATTTCTCATTCAGAGTATACCATATTTCTAACTCTTCCATATAATGTAAGAAGTCATTAAAGACATGTAAACTAGTAGCGAGAAAAAAAAACAGATTCTCAAACATAACTTGAAATATCAAAAATTGACTTTTTTCACTTTATGAAAAATAAATAGCATTTATAAAGCATGGTATTATGGTTTTTATATTAATACACCTCGCAATATCACTATCGACTCGTGTAAATCAATCGATAGCCGGGTTGGCATTTTTACGTACATTGTTGGACCATCGCGTAAGAATTTTTCAACAATTTTCATTCTTTGTGCTATTTTATCCTACATTTTTCTAGCTCTAACGCATATAATTATTCAAAGTCGAGTTAACATCCAAAATTCAATGGTTATTGGTTCGATAACACCAAATGATTGTAGTGATGTGATCAATTTAAATTCGAGTAATATTCAATTCGCTCAAATGGCTGTACCAACTGTATCGGGAATATTAGCTAACAATGGTGATGGTAATCGATTTGGTATCGTTTTCCCAACTATTTCAACCTATAATGGCATGCCAATTCGTTCCTGGAACCGAATTGGAAACTATCCTTGTCGTGAGTGAATACAGAAAATGTTAGATTATTCGTCAATTAACGTTCTTTATTGTTCTAGTTGATGGTTCAATGCTGATTAGGAACGTTATTCTTGCTTTCTTCAACGATATTTGTAATCGACATGATACAGCCATTCAAGTATCGCAAAGCAATGATGATGGACAGTTTCCTATTACAACAAGTTTAATGTTTGTCTATAATATATCTGAAACAAATCGGATTTTCAATGGGCAACCCAATTTGGGTGCAGTTAATCCGAGTCAATGTGGTGGTAAGTCGATTTGAATGATCGATTTTTATTGTCACTTCATTGTAAATTAAGATATGGATTGTGATGGTCTCAAAAAGAATTTAATCGTCGACACTGATGGAACACTCTTTGGACAATCGTCGAGTGTCTTTTCTCAAGCTGAGTCTCTCTGGGGTAAATAATCAATATATCTTCTTCCGCAACTTTCTATGACATATCCTTCTGCAGGTAATCAACGGCATGGCATTGGCGACTTTCGTATTCCTATGGTAGCAATGACTAACTTGAGTGGCAACAGAATCAATATAAGCTCTATTTATCCATATCGGGGTATCAGTCGTAGTAATTCTTGCATTCTTCATTCATCGTGGGGAATGTATCAATGTAATTATGACACTGATTATCGTATGTTGATTATTGAGAGTATGGATTCAGATACTGAAACACGACGTCTTTCGCCTGTTGCTATCATGTCCAATAATGGCTATATTGATTTGATCAACGGGCCTAGCAATCATCTTGTTTGTAATGGATATGCATGTCGGCGACGCATTTCAACATTCATGGCCATTGTTAAATCAGAACAAGTATATCAGATCTATCTAACAAGTACTCCACCGAAGCGTATACGTTTTCGACTTATTAATGCTGATTCAACAATTAAATGCATTTTGGCTTTGTACTACAATTCATTACAGCAGATTGATGTTTATGCTAATACCGTTTACACGTCACCAATTAACCGGGATCCAAATTCAACTGTTCTGAAACTTCTTGATCAACCAAACAATATTACGTTTTCATCACCACCCGGAGCGAATTATTTTGACAGGTTTGTATTAATTTCAATGATGCCATTCAATGACGACGGCATATAATGACTATCAAGTCAAACAATACTATGTCAGAGACAATCCATGTATATATCGAAATTATGTGCAGCATTTCTTCTCATCATTCTTAGGTTGAACAATAATCCTTCATCATTATTACATTCATAGTATTCGTTGTCCGTTTATTAACAATATTTACAAATAGATCTGAACAATTTATACTTTTTAGACAGATAGTTTTTTAAACAAAAATTGCTTAGTTTCAAATCATTCCCTAGAAATTTTAAAGGTCATGCCAATATATGTCTACACTTTTCATTGGAGTGTAGTTTCAATTAAAATATTGTCTTTCAAAATCAGAGATGCAGAATATATGCGTTTGCATCCACGTGTTTGGTGAGAGTATTTTGGTTTTAATAGATTTCCTATAATTTGTTCGGAACTCCACATTGATTTATTTTTGCAGATATGCACTTACATCTAATATATTGTCGTTTAATCAAAATTATTTAAGGTTTTCTGTTAAAAAAATCTCTGAAGCTCTCAAGACAATAGGAGGTTTTATGTGATTTTTCGAAATAGTAAGATTCATTCTAAACCTTGAGTTAGATTATTAATTGGTACCTGTATTACTTTTTATATTTTGAATCAAATCAAACTCGACACATTTTGTGGCAGTTAAACAAGAGAAGTACTTCTAGGAATTGTTTATGACGATAGAACTCTACAGCAAATAACTAATAAGACTTATAAGTTTCCAACTAAATCTTCTAATTTATCAGACCAGATTAATCAACAAAAAAATCTCAAAAGCGTCTTCATCACTCAACATTGATACATATATTTTGAAAGTATCGTTTAAATGAAGAAAAACGTTCTAGCTTATAACAGATTTTACGACTCTATCCTAAAATTTTCTTCTAAAAATATGATAGAAACATCATTAGAATTAATAAGATCTGTATGTCAAAATTTTTCGTCATTAAATCAATGATATCTCTTCTTTGCCGATAAATAGAACCTATCAATTAGCCTATTTCGTCCTATATGGCAGTACGATGATTGAATTAAAAATGTCACCACTGCTTATTCTCAACTTTGGACTACCACCAATGGATCCAGCCATGTTTTACACTGGTGACATTCGCGCCAATTTAGCTGCTCTCTTCAACATCAGTCCCAATAAAATTCGACGTGTTAGTATTATATCAGCTTCGAATCAAATGTAAGTATTGTACTGATCAAAGAAACAGTCAACACTAATTGATAGTGTTCGAAAGTCTATGATACACAAGTGATCTAGAAAGGATGAGATAATTTGCCTTTGTTTTTGAATATCGAATATGCAATTCAAATTTGCTATTTGTAAACTGATTCGATCGGAAATTTCGTTCTTTCTCTACAAAACTATCGACTTTGTTTTTGTTAAACTTTATATTCAAAAACAAAAAAACATCAAAAGTAGTGACAGTTAGTCAATTTTCCAAGTTCGATATTCATAAAGAGAATACTTGGAAACGATTGATATGGGTTTCGCTGTAATTTCGAGAGCGTTTCAACTCGTCACGTGACGAGTTGAACAAATTGCAAAAATCACACCTTTCGTAACACCAAAAATAGACATATTCAAAAATGCAGGGATGTCGTAACGAAATTTACAGGGCGATCGTAACGATTAATACAGGGAGTTCGTAACGGTTGCAGAGCTTTCACAACGAAGCAACAGGGTTTTCGTAATGAAATATATGTTAGTCGTACGTCATTTACGAATAGAAATTACACGGGTTTCGTAACGAATTGTACAGGGCTTTCGTAACGGCTAAAATAGTCTTTCTCATGCTATATTTCAAAGGAGATGTAGGCTGTCAAATCAGGGCTGTCGTAACGAATTTTATAGGGAAGACGTAACTGTTCATACAGGGTTGTCGTACCGGAAAAGCAGAGTGTATGTGAGTTAGATGTACAGGGGTATCATAATGAAATATCAGGGCTGTCGTAACCAATCGTCTGGTCTCGAAATAAGAAGAAAAGATTTGTTGAAGATTAAGATTTTCAACTTATTTTGCTTACTTTACTTAATCAAGCAAGGGTGTGGGTGGGTGTGGGTGTGGGTGTAGGTGCGTGGGGATGGGCGTTGGGGTGTGGATGTGGACGTCTACAAAAAGAAAATGACACCAACAACCCAACCGACCATCCGATAGGCATTTCGACCCCTCGATTTTCCACCGTCGATGTCTTCTAAGATATCCATCGCCGAGCCCTCGACCCACCGGAAAATGGCAAACCCAGGGGTCGATTTGAAATTCCGATAGGCAGACCTCGTGCCCCAGATAGCACCACGATACATATTACGAAAACTTCGATCCTATGCTTCTGCTAACTATCAAGTTACTCACCATCTAGCCTTGGACCCATCGAAATTTCAAATCGACCCCTGGGTTTGCCATTTTCCGATGGATCGAGGGCTCGGCGCACCCCTCACACGTCTTTTTTAGCTCACTTGGGAATCACACAAACAATCACACCCACACCCACACCCTAACGGTTACGCTAGCCCTGTACTTTTCGTTACGACAGCCCTGTATTGTCGCTCGTACTTTTAAGCTAAGTGCATTACGAAAGCCCTGAATGAGAAGTTACGATAACCCTGAAAAATTCTTTACGAAAGGTCTGTAATTGATGGCATCATTTTCTAAAATAGCACATATCAAACCACTAGTTACGATCACCCTGTAAAATTCGTTACGAAACCCATGGAATTTTGTTACGAAAGGTCTGATTCTGCCGTTACGAAAGCTCTGTTACGGGCTTTCGTACTGTCAATTCGTTACGAAAGCCAGAAAACAAAAATCGTGACGAGTTGAAATGCTCCCGTAATTTCAAATATGCCTTTCTTGATATTTTGTTTCAGAATTTGAAAAGTAATATTTGAAGAGAAAATCGTTGAAGCAAAAATAAAAATCGGCGTCAGATATAGTGACAATAAATCTTTGATTGAGCAAGTCTCACTTTTGTAAAAAAAACTGATATGATTTGCGATAGTTTTAACTTTTTTTTACTCATAAACGATAGACACCATGAGTTATTGATGAGCATATTCTACAAGAAATCAATTGATAACTGCAAAAAATACGAGATCCTAGCTAGGAGAGATCAAACAGTTATCTATCTGGTCAGTTGTCTGTCTACAAGAGGCATGTATTTGAAAATCAATATTGATAGATTTCTCAAGAGGAAATTTCGCTATTAACTTAATTTCAAGTTTAACCTCTGAAATTTATTTTGTGCTTTCTATAAAACGAACTGTTCCATTCTTTATCAATCGTTCATAATATTACAATTTGCCATTACTCCTTTTTTTTTGAATATCTTGTCTTATCACATTAGACGTTTACGTCGTCAAGTGTCATCCATTCGACTAAATATTGAACTACGTGATGAACCACGAACCAGTTCGACATCAACTGGTGGAGTTCTTGGTGAACTTCTGTCGAATATTGCTGCAAATATCATCAATCGTTATCAAACTGGTCAATTACAAATTGCTTGGAAAGCTCTCAATTTAACGGGTGACATTATTCCTGTGAGTTTAGATGCACAAGAGCCATTTGATAATGTGTCTACACCTTTGGGTATTATCAATAGAACTCTTCTCTTAATACCACCAACCAGCTGTCGACAGCAAAGTCCGTGCACTATTCAACCAGTAATCGTTGCTTATGATGCAGAGGGCAACGTTATTCAAAAGTTAGGTACCAATGATCAACCATGGCAAGTACAGGGTACTGTTATTGGTCAGTCAAGTCAAATCCTGTACGGTGGCATTGCCAATTATTCAAATGGACAAGCACAATTCCAATCATTTAGTTTACCAAATCTTGGTTCCTATCAAGTTCAATTTACCTTCATTCAACCGAATGGTATCAACAGGTATTCAAACGATACCATATATTTACATGAAAATTTTTTCATTTTTTATTGAATAGTTCATTTTTTACAACGGCCAATCTAACCGTTCAGACAGATCCAGTTACTGTAACAGAAGCGATTCTAGGTGGTCAACAAGTGAACAATATCTATGTCGTTAATGTCAATGATACATTCGACATATCGGTTGTGCCAGTCGATAATATCACTGGTCTTCAACTTGGACAAATCAAATGGGACAACTGGACTTGGTGGACAAATGTTACACTCTATAATTTACCAAATTTCAATAGTCATGGTTCACTGATCGCACAAAATATATCAACAACTATTGTCAATCTTACAGCAGGTAAAGTCACCAGACAAAGTAACTGAATTAAATACAACCTTCTGAAAAGTAAATCACATCGAATCGAATCATTTCAGTCATATTTCTTTCATAGTAACTTCTTTATCTTTTCCATCGTATAGCCAATACTTTTAGTAAAGCAAAACTTTAATCAATTGGTTCATACAAAAGATAACTGCTCACAAAAAAAAGTTATGCTATAATATATCGAGCTTCATAATATTTCATTGTCTACTTCATCTCATACCAGTGAAGAGTTATAAAAAATCGAAATATATCTTATTCTGTATTGTACAAAAGAGAATTTCAACACGTATATCTCCATGAATTGTAGTAAATTAATTTATAGATTCATCACTTTTATTGATATGAAGTAAAACAACTATCTATGAAATGAATTGTCTGATTTTAATTATTTTAAATGTATTGATCAAAAATATTACTACAATTGTCATGTTTTAAATGCAGGGAAACAGCGTTTTTTTTGGGAAATTATTCTGATGACAGTTAATTTTTTTCGAAGTAATCATATAGTTAAATATAAAAACGATATTTTTAATAATGCCATCGATAGGTAATGTCATTGTTAGGAGAGAACATTATTGAAAAAAAAATAGATAGTATGTAAAAATACATGGTATTTTTCTTTAATAACTATCTGAATCGAATTGAATTTTTTGTTATTGGTTTCGATCTTTGACAGTCACTGTCACTGATCTAAGCATTAATGCTACTGGCATGTATATATTGAACATTCGTTTGGTTTCATCGGACAATAAGCACACTATTCAAATGGTATCAAATGGTATTCTTGTTAAAAATAGTGATGGTAAGTATAATGACAGAATTTGATTTCCATTGATCATCATGCATTTTCAAAGATAATCTTGTTACGGATTCGGATCAATTATTGAGCAATGTTACATTTGCGGGCAACTACGATGCGCTCAATGCTTCAAATCAACTTGAAATCAAACGAGCAATGATTTATAATTATTTCATCAGTTGTGGTATGCCACTTGTCAGTGATATTACTCTATTGAATGGTTTGAAAAATAAGAGATTTCGTAATATCATAGAGCTCAATTTTATATCCTTATAGGTAGTGTTACCGCATTGTTTCAAGTTAGTGCACTGCCTACAATTATTTCACAAGCAGTTACAATCCTCCTAAAAAAACCTAATGCTGTGCCTGGTTTGAATCTTATTTCAGTCAATATCAATGGTCGGTCCTACTCAGTTTCATCATCACCTGATAGTAGTTCGGGTATTAGTTCAGACAATCAATCAGCAAACATCGGCCTCATTGTTGGTCTCGTCGTTGGTCTTGCCAGTAGTTTGTTACTAATAATTGGCATCGTTTGGCTCCATCATAAGCATAAGCAAATGAATGCTCATCGTCGTCTAGAGAATGCTCCCAACAACAATCTAACTCTGACAATAGACGATCAGAAATATGGACACAGCAACAATTTCGAAACCGAAAACAATGCACTTTTTCTAGTTCAGACTCAGTCTCCATCGCTTAATCGTATTGGCTCAGGTCGAATAACAGAAAATGTTCAATCTCAAGCAGTTATACTAAATGTCGCTCAAGACGAGTTCTACAAAGTCGACTATCCATTAATAGAAATGGAATTGATCGCATTCGATTGAATTTCATCTTTGACTATTCTCATAACAAACATTTCTTTTGCTTTTTTTTCCTAATTCATAGAACACAAGTAGCTTGAAAACCATATAGAATATTACTCTTATATTTAACACATGTTCAACTAACATTATCTTTAACGTAATCAAATCAAGAGTGAAATAAAAATAATCTTTTTATTAAATAACACATTTTAACTCTGTACTGTTGAAATTTTTGACTATCAATCATGTAGTGATATGTTAGAATTGAGTATACGAACGTTGATAAATAGATTGACGATGTTTGAACGACGACGATAACATTATAATATAAAATTAGAATTGACTGAAACAAGCAGATTTTCACATTGCCATTTGGATTAGATTAAACTAATGTAGTATAGAAACATAAAACGAAGAAAGATCTGTCACTATTCTACTTTAGGACATAAAAATTCATAATGTCAACACTAAAACATGTCATAGGAGGTTCGAGAAAAATTTCTATGCATAATGGCAACCTATATAGACATTTTTAATTCTACACTATTTCATCATTCTTCAAATGTTATTATCATAGCAAAGTTTTGATATGTTAATTCATAATTTGCCTTCTTCATAATAATGTGATAGTAGACATAAGAATTTAGTTGAGCTTGAAATGCACAAATAACTTTTAAAAAAATTCTATTATAGAAACAAACGCTGTATAGATAAAGTGAGCCAACGGATTTAGACAAGAGATTATAAAATAAAGTCACATTAAACATCTTAAGTCAAAAATTATTAATGTTCTCTTTGAGATGAATCGAATAATTTATATTATATTTTCAAAAAGATACGAACATCAATGACAAATCTACCAAGAGATTAACCCTTTAAGGACGGAATTTTTTTTCATCAAAAAAGTGGTTCTTCAATCATTTTATTTTATTTACCCAGGTGATTCAATCCGACCTGTAGATCCTACCGGAAACTATCGGATCTGATGTCGAATCACACCGGAATTCGTCGGGTTCCCAACTAAATCTGATCGGAACCCAACCGTATTTCACAGGATTCCTAACTAACGGATTCCGGACCGGATTACGTCGGAAAGGATCCGATCGGATCCTGTTGGAACTGTTTGTCAGATAATGCCGTAACCACCAGGATCCTTTCACAGAGAAACGCCTGATAACGTAAGGCTCCGACAGAATACAGTCGGATTTCATCAGAAGTTGGCTGAATCTGTTTCGATTGCACAAGGATTCAATCAACATTTCACACAGATTTCATTCTAGCATTCTCAAAATTTCCAAAGATTTACTAGAGATTTCTGACAATTTCATCCAATTTTCCTCAAGATTTCTAAAGATTTCTCAAGGATTTCATCGAGATTTCTAAAGATTTCCCCAGCATTTCAACGAGATTTCTGAAGATTTCCCCAGGATTTCATCCAGATTTCTAAAGATTTCTCAAGGATTTCCTCGAGATTTCTGAAGATTTCACAAAGATTTCATCAAGATTTATGAAGATTTCCCAAGGATTTCATCAAGATTTCTAAATGCTTGTCCAGGATTTCATCCAGATTTCTGAAGATTTCCTAAGGATTTCATCAAGATTTATAAAAATTTCTCAAGGATTTCGTCGAGATTTCTGAAGATTTCCCAAGAATTCTAAAGATTTTCCAAAGATTGAATCGTCATTTTGAACAGATTTCCCCAGGATGTTATCAAAGTTTCTAAAGATTGCATCAGAATGTCATCAAGAGTCTAAAGGATTTCAACTGTTTCAACTGGGATTATTCCTAGAATCTAACAATGTATATACTACGATCCTTCTTAAAATTGAACAATGCTTGTACGTAGATTGTTCCTAATATATAGAACTTAGTTATACAAAATGGCAGAATTCACTTGATATATGAAAGTAGAAAGTTCCTTATATAGATCGATACCTGTAAAACAAAACGGTGAATGAAATCTGGACAAAATCGGATTTCCAGATTTTTGATTTTGTTGTTGGAAATTTGTAAAAAGAAGAATATCTAATTAATTCATTAGCTCATTGATCCGTCAGAATATAGTCTTGTTCAAGAATCCAATTGCGTGGAAAACATAATTGTATAAGGAAAACAAATCATTTGAAGTAAAATTAATCTAAGCAACACTTTGGAAATTCATTCAAAATATTAAGGGTGTGGGTGTGGGTGTGTGGGTGTGGGTGTGGGTGTGGGTGTG